TATAAAAAAAAGAATCGTAATGGGGTGCGATGAAGAGATCAGTTCACGTCTGGAACCCTGTTCCTACAAAAATCCCTTTATTCTCATAAACTATTTGTTTTAAATGTAATTTATTATAAATCCAATTCGTTATGTAAATTCCACATATGTACTACATTTCACCTCTGTACGCGCCACTGTTTATTGTTCCCTGCTCTACGATCAAGCTCGCCAGGTTAGTATTTGACGTATAACCGACCACTTCGTACACTCGATGCACCTGGCCGACTACAGCTAGTACCAGAACACAGTGCGTATGCGGCGGTATTTCAGATTTTACATTCAATTTCATTTTAAATTTGAAACGGTTCATCTTACGCCTCCTAAAAATGATGACACGATTTTCCTTTGATAAAAGACCGACAATTTTTTGCTCTACTTTGCATCGTATACGATCGTACTATAAATGTCATTCATTTATTGATAGCAATAAATTCATGAAGAAAATGTAAAAAAATACTGGCCCTTATTTTTTAATGAATTTTTAGTGAATTCAGGTTACATATTTATTTAAAGATATAGTGCCAACAATGCTGGTGATAAAAATCATTAAACATTATTTAAATTCTTCTTGGTCCTGTTAGAATTCTTTATTAACTAATTCAAGTTACCTTTTCATCTCCCTGTACAGATAACAGAATTCACTATAGTCAAAGAACTACCTACCAATGAAGTTTTAACACTAACAGATCAATTTCTAATAGATAAATAATTACTAATACAATATAAAGTAGTGCACACAAACACTATTTTGGAATTGTCCTTATCATTCTTAAAGTCATTTTTGTCATAATAACAAGCTGAAGTTATATTACGAATAGTAGTAAAATAACCTCAGTTATTAGATGTTTTAAAATAAATATTAACATTCAAATTTGGCCCTGCTGAGTAATTACAATACAAAATTTAATTATGTAATACACTCATAATATCTTCAATAAATTCATCAACTTCATGAATAAATTTATGAATTCATGAATTTCTTTAATTGTGTAAAATTGATATTAGATTGATCAAAATACAACGTTCTTCATTTTTTAAATCAATTTTACAAAATAAACTATTATAGGTATAACAATTATAACCATTTTTGCACGCAGTAAGTGGAACATGTTGAATGATTTTCATATTGCGTTGTCCAATATTTCTAGAGTTATTCGCCTTATTTTACCGTGGATAATCAATTGTAACGAGATTAATTTAAATTAATCCATTTCAGAAACAAATGGAACTATTTACGTTTCTACAAATCGTCACTATTTTTTAATTCTAGAAGTTGAATAAAAAATAATTATTATTACGTTGTGTATCTGCAAATATAGGAATTTTATTCATAATAAAATGTATTGATGTCATTATGTGCAAACAATTAAACATGAAAAAGATCTTTTGAAAATATTATTAGGAAACGTTTTTGTTTAAAAAATATTACTTTTATTCAATACTTATTTCCACATTGTATATAAAATAAATTATGTTATGAGGTATTTCCTTCTATTATTTAAAATATGTATTTTCAATTACGTATGTGGGATTTAATTTTAACCAAAATTTATCTCATTTCCTGTAACATATCAATGGTATTACCACATATCTAACCCATATGCGAAACTCCTTTGATAAGGCACAGATGCCGCCGTTGACCTTGTCCATTTAAACTGGATGCTAAACGTTGCCAGATTGGACAATAAAAATTGATATCTGAAGTGTTGCCAATTAGAAATATTGAATGAACATGAACATAAAATGCTTACACCTACATTTATCACTTAATTGATAAAGTGTGTCTAACCGGGATGATAAATTAGATAACTAATATATTAAAATAAAATTGCTAAGTGTTCATTAATTTTTTGTTGAAATAAAATACCTAATAACAAATTATACACATGTTTAATTTTACATTTTTTATATTAGGAGTTTTACTAACANTCAAAAATGACGTGTTTTTCTAACATTTTCCAACATAACTTCTTAAATATGCAGTTTACAGAAAAAACTATTACTGATGAAATTGTTTGTTATGAAATTTGCTACAAGATAGATCTATTTTGATACCTGCACATATCATTTATTTTGTTGCAAAATAGTCAAAACAACATAAGAAGGTGATGAAAATCGAGATGCTTTGGAAGCGTAAAACTGACAGGCAAGAAATTGTCCAATTCTACTATAAATGTAGATGTAAGTACTTTAAACGATTACAAAACGAAATTCTAAAACCCGATAAAAATCGGTCTTCATGTTCACCACAAAAATGTTTATTTTTCCTAAGCGAGTTATGATTAATGCAATTCATACATTTCCTCTCATGATTGCCGGATCATATAGAGCAACTAGTATTTTTTTACATTCATTTTTTTTTTCACTTAAGTTCCAAAAAAACCTTTTCTCACAGTGGACCCTCTGACTTTTGAATATACTTCAATCATGACACTGTTGCTGAATTTATATGCCAATTACTTTGATATCAGATTTACTATAATAGCACATTCTACGTCGGAATTATGCGACAGTATTTGCTTTAGAATTTGGTTAGATGACAAGATTTTTGGAAGATTCATATATAAGTAAACATAGGTTTAACTTGTTTCATAGAGTGTCACATTTTCTTATGCAATTTATATTGTGTTATGTTTATGTGCCATGCTTTGATTTGTCCGTGGAAAACTGATTTTCACATTTTAACACCTTTATTAGATGTATTATTCACCTTAATCCTCAAGCCAGTCAAATTAATAAATTTTTTCATTTCATAAACTATATAATAATTGAATTCAAAGACCTTACCACTAAATCATCTGTGTATTCTTTTTGCTGAAAACTTGTTTTATTAGTGTGGGTGTCTTCTTCAGATTTGCACCATGACATACCTGCCTTGCCCATGGTCCATGGTACTCTAGATCTAATTTTTGCAGTTGTACGATATATTGTAAATCAATGATTTTTCCATTAACAATTTCTCACACTGATGACACTTAATTTCTTTATATACATAATAAGATTTGATTACATTTTTCTGTGCTCTTACACAGATTTTAGTTGGAATTGTGTTAGTTAAACACACAGTCCTCAAGTTTATTTATTTTGAAAAACTTTGAGACTACTTATATTGAGGCACTTTACATGTATAACAATACATTTATCATCAGCATATTTAATTTTATTTTTTCTAGTATTGCTTCCACAAATACAACAATTAACATCAGAAGTTTCAGACACATCCGTATTGCCTTGACTTTAAATATATGAGTACAATTTTTGGACACCCTGTGCTGATACATTTGGTTCAGAATTTAAAGATGTATGATTTAATATTGGGAAATAGTATACAATGTTATATTAATGAAATTTTATTCCTTGACAATGAATTAAATAATTAAACATTTATAGGTAGTAGAAATTATTCATACTTTCTCCCATTTTTTTTTCTAAAGACAAGGACAAAAATAAAAAGCCATATGACAGAGAAGAGCAACACTGTATTCACTTTATAAATATACTCAACAAAGGAAATTCACAAAAGACTGCTATTTAGTTATTTGATTTGAACTACGTAATATAATATTAATTAATCTCAATTAAGAAAACCAAATTATAAAAACAATTTGTATTAATTGTTTAACTACACTTTGTCAATACACATTCTTATTAGTGATAACGCCAGTGAGTTAAATTTATTTGATTAATCTAAAATGAAAAATAAATAAGATACCAAAAATATATATAACACTTGCATTTTAAGGCCAAAGTTATCCATATCACCGATAAAAAAATATTTAAAGTGCACCAAAAATAGTTCATTAAAATTTAATTCCCTAGTGTATAGCCCATTGTAATGAAACTTACTTTTTTTACGAGCTTAAAGTCTATTTAAAGGACGGAAGATCATAGTAATTAATGGCTTAGAATGATAGCGTTTAGAGTGAAAATAAATCATTACAAGAAATGGACAAAGATTTGTGCAATTGTATCCCTTGAAAGAAATTTTGCTTTATCAGTAATATCATGATTATATTACAAGACTCATATCTTAGACAAAAGCTTTAATGAAGTACATAGTCGGCAATATTTACTGTCTATAAAACCAAGTTGAGAACATTTTCAGATTTGATTGTAACAAACATTTTTGGGCAATTTAAATATTTACAAACGTTTTCTTGTAAGTTACAACCTGTCAGCACTAGCTATCTCCAGTTTTATCTTCTTTATTCTTTGGTATAAATTTTAGAGAAGCGGAGTTAATGCAGAATCTTTTTTTGGTCGGTGGAGGTCCATCGCCAAAGACATGGCCTAAGTGTGCTCCGCATTCCACACAGGTCACTTCAGTACGAATCCTCCCTGGTTGGGATATTAGGAGTAAAAGGTTTGCACCAACTATCAAGGTAGGGAATACAGGAATGTAAAGGTAAGGTATGCCCCGTTTACCATATGATAATGCAAAGCCAAAAATAATAATGAAAGGAAACATAAATTCAAAAGAATTATAAAAGAAACACGGAAAAGATGAAAACCAAACAAAATGAAAATGAAGATGAATGACAAATGTTTATCGTAGGGGTTGAGGGGAAGGAAATGGAAAAGAAAACAATCACAATTAGCTTTCCCAAGGAAAATTTGACAAACCAACACACCAACAGAATACTTTGGAAAGCATAGTGAGTTAGTTTGCAGGTTATACTGTTGCACAAACTAGCATATTTCTACGGACTAGGAAGTGTTAGGATATTTAGGATACAAAAATTTCACAACTGGATTATTCACCTCTTCTCAGAATTGTCAAGTTATGTTACTAAATCATATGTATAATACAGCTGGGAAATATGAATACTGCACTAATTAATATTCTACACAATATATAAGTAACGAAGAATGTTCAACGTTTTATTTTATTGAGAATTTCTGTCACAGAGAAAAAAATAAAAAAAAACCTTTGCTACAAGTCAATTAAGGTGTTTATTTTATAAATTTAGTTTTTTCTAACAACAAATATTTAGCATAGAGGAAGAAGATAACGCATGTTAAGGTTATGTTTGGCATACCTTCTCCAAATTCAATCTCAAAATAAATTAAACTCATTCACAGTCAAATGTCAGTTTTTTATTTTGTTTACACTTACCTTATCATTGGGAATATCTAACGATCCTTTAAAAAATGATTTGAAACACGATTTATCATTTAGCAGAATAAGCGTGGACTTAGAAAAATTAAATTTATAAAATCAACCTCTCGACTGAAATATAGGGTTAATACTCAAATAAAAAATTATATCTATTATACATAGTAACACTTAATCATTAACATTTTCTGCTTCAAGTTTCACTAATAAGAGTAATGTTACATTCAACTAATAAAAAAAATATATTAATATTAATAAAGTTATAGTTAATAGTTATGCAATCTTTAATAAAATATTAACTGGGCTATAATAACGAGGATATTATTTTACTCTTTTACTGTAAATGGTAGACAATGGCGTTTTTAATAGATTTTATCTGAATTTCTAAGATGCACAATTTTTAGAAAATTTTTGAAGAGTTCTGGTTTTCAGTTGTTCTGGAAATTAACTCTCCCATTTTAAAGGACATTTTTTAAGCAACAATGTTAATATGAAATGTTAATTTGTCAGTTTTTGAGATAGAGATGTACCTATTCACATTACTTTAAGACTAAAACTAAAAAATGTAATAGACAATTTCCTGATATATCAAGACGAAATTTCAAGATATTTTCTTGGATCCACCGATTTTGCAGATATACTCATCCCTCCAATTTTTTGCATGTGATAATGTTGTCAGATTATTTAAATAGAACTTAAATGTTCTAAATTCAAATATAACAGCAAATTATGTATTTTATTTATTCAATATTTTCCCATATAAAAAGTGACGATCTGTAGAAATATGTGATAGCTAGGGGGTCCAAGTCCCGGGACCAAAAGGCCATTCGGGACTTCGGGACCTGGCTAAAAAATCCCGGGACTAGTCCCGAAGTCCCGAATATAACACGTAGGCGGATTTTTTACCTTATTTACGATTTACGACTAGGACGAATGGTAAATAAAACAGCTGTCTACCATTTAAAACGTTGCAACATTTACTAGACAACTAAACATACAAAATAAAAACACAAAATAACAGGAAATAAATGTAAAAACATAAACGCAAGTTTCTATACATTTAATGAAACACTGAAACGTGGAAGTTGGAAGTCGCTTACGTGACATCGCTAATCGCTATTCGCTCTCAGTTGATTTTGATTAAAATAAAATTTTAAGGCAACTAAAGCATTAATAGATTCATTTCCCAAAGAAGATCTTACTTTCGTGGCGAAAGAACCGGCTACTGAAAAAGCCCTCTCAGATTCAACACTCGTAGGAGGAATGGTTGACAAATATTCATAAGCCAACTGCAAGAATTGGCCACGATTACCCCCGTTTTGAAAGAGGCTCATTTCCTTTTCTATAACGGTTTTGAAGCTGCCTCGTCCCGATGGAATTACAGCTATTGGTGACACCATTTTGGCATTTTCCAATGCCATGTTTAATTTTTCTTTCAATGATGTGAAGTTAACTTTATCTTGGCGAAGTTGAGCAAGAGGAATTTCTTCTTCAGAATCTTCCGCTTCCACCTCTATTGAAACTGTTGAACAAGACAACCTTTTCACTAATTTTCTTATAAATGTTGAAATCGTTTTGGTATCTGCATCTGCTGGAGAAAACCATCTTTTCGAAATAGCCAGATAATCTTTCGGATTGGTTAGGTAACTCATTACTTGGGAAGCTGTAGTTCTTCTCTCATTCACTCGGGCTTTAAGTGAAGCGAACAAACGAATACTTAAGGGGCTATTTATTTGTTTCAGCTCCTCAAACATAAAATTGAAAGCAATATCAGATGTGTAAAGATTTGCATCACTGCGACACAAAGCTAACACGGTAAGCCTGACAGGCTCCAAACAATTCACAAGTCCTGTCAAAATTTCAAAATCGGCATTACTCAATGTATTTGGAATGGCAAGGTCAATTAGAGTTTTCTGGATACAATCTTTCAAAAGGGTAAAACGTTTTAACATGTCAATCAAACTATTCCAACGTGTCCTGCAGTCTAAAGCGAGCTGCAACTCTTTATTATGTTTTTCTTTAACATACTTTTGCAAGGCAACGTTTTTAAGGGGCGATTTTCTAAATAGTCTTACAACTCTGCGTACTTCCTTTATAAGAGAATTGATGTTATAATCCATTGTTAATTCGAATTCCTCTTCTGAGTCATCAACAACATCAAGTCTTCCATTTTGATCATCCTCTTCAACTTCATCTACTTCGTCGTCATCAGCATCTGCTTGCTCATAGTCATTTCCACTGATTCTGGATTTTGATGGTTTCGGGGAATACAGGACATCTATAATACCAAGTTGAATGCCATGAGCAAAACACAATTGTTGATGTGCTTCAACCAGGCACCCAGCTTTGACCATGACACTGGCACCATCAGTGGTCATGCTCACAATATCTTTGTCCAAAGATAAATTGAATTCTTTCAATTTATTTTGTACCAAATCTACACACACTTCAGCTGGCACTGACCCCACTATTGGTACTAAACCAATATTCCAAATTTTTATTTTAGAACAGACGTCTATAAAGCCATGGATATTAATATTGATGTATCGTTTATTACGATTTGACGTCCACTCATCAAAAGTTATACTAAAACACCTGCCATTTTGCCGTAATTTTTCAAACTGTTGTCGGTAATTATCGAATACTTTTGTGCAGTAAGAAATAATCTTTTTCTGTATTGTAGAAGGTGAAAGGGGAAGGTTTCCAAACCCCCTGGCTTCTAAGCCTCTCCTCAAATCTACTGATTTTATGAAAACCCTGAATGGAAATCCATCGACAGCAGCCATTCGTGCAATAACAGCGTCTAAAGAGTTTTCAAGTTTTTCCACTGTTCCGTGCTCCGGCAAGTAAAAATCGCTTATTTTTCGTTGTTTAGAAGAGGTAGAGGGTCCATCTACTCCATCTTCATTCTGCTCATCATCACTAATAGTTTCAGTTTGATGACTTTCAGGAATTTTCGTGTTTTTGTCTTTAATACTTTTATTTGTATGCATTGCAAGATGCTTATGTAATCCCTTTGTGGATCCGCCTTTAGTCATGAGTATATTAGAACAAAATTTGCATTTTGCTGTTTGTCTGTTTGTGGCTATTAAGAAACGACTCCAGACAGAATTTTGATCATTACTTTTTGAAGGATGATTAATATATTTTGCATCGGTTTGACAATGAGATGCCATTTCCATTTATTAGGATTTACTATCTTATAAGAAGACACCCTTCTAAAATAAAATAAAAAACATTTTAACACTAAATGAATTTAATTACAGGCACAAAATTACCTTGTTTGCAAAAACTCTCTAGCTCTAGAGTAGATTTAGACCTCCTATTTCTCCTAACCTAACCTCGAACTCCTATAAAAATATAGACGAAAAACACAGGTTCTCTAGCGTGACGTCCGACGTGCAACGCATAAAGAAAATACATCAACTAACAGAACAGCACCAGCCAACAGTCATCAAGCCTGCGCAGCGATCGGAGTCGAACCCCCCTCCCAACGTAGCGGCAGCGAGATAGAGCGCAGCAAAGCCGGCAAATACAGTTGCAGTTTAAACTGTATTTTGTGAAACGTGCGCAACCTTCTACTCTACCTCTTTTCGGGACCACCGTAGGTCCCGGGACTAAGGTTATGGTCCCGGTCCCGAGATTAATCATGTAATCCCGGGAAATTCCGTTCCCGGGATCCCGGGACTGGATGCACTACTGTTAACCACTCATATTTACTGGACCAATTTTTACTAAATGATTTGTTGCTTTCGCAATTTCTTCTACTTCTTTCTTTCTTTATTTATGAAATTTTTCATGTTAAGCGTAGATCTTAATTATGAAATAAATAATTTATCATCAAAAGTTAACGTACCAAATTTTTTATCTAATATTCACAATATCACCATTGCTACTCACCTATTTGCGAATTTCACTTGCCACTTTGTTTTACTCCTAACTGTTAAACAATATAAATGAACCTAAACCACTACTATTAACCCTAACCTAGAACTTACAACTAAGTCATAAGGCACAAGGAATAAAATATAAACAAACAACAAACCACAGATTATACGCAAGAGTCCGAGGAATATACGAGTGAAGCCGAAGGGCTTGTCCGGTATCGTAGGGTTATTTTATGTATACTCAAATGATAATTTATTACAAATCTAATTGAAATTCAAAAAATGTAATAAATAGTTTCTTTATTATTTGAAAAAATAAATAAATATTGGATTTAAAAGTCCTAAACATAATTTACTTACTTCCATATTTACAAACTCGAATCTATTAAAAATTTCTCCGCAATCACCCTTAATTCAGTTTAACAGTAACAAGTTAAAAAACCTTAATAACTATAATTATCACTATCAAATAACATTCAACATAGCATCATAGATATTTATTTTTAACTTAATTTACAAATTATTATAAAACGAATTTTTTTTCGTTTACTAAAATTAGTTTTCTAGAATACCTTTGCAGGGAAAAATTATTCTAATGTTTAAAAATTCATTTAAAGAACAAAATTACAGCAAATAAATATATAAATATTTCCAACCGCTGGGGAAAAGCTTGTTTCGATAGGGATAAGAGGGCTCGCCTGGCTTGGGCCAATTATTCTAAATTAGTGAACGACTTACGTTTTCGATTACTCTCTAGCCCTAGGTACTCATAAGCAGGCAAGGAAGCGGTCACGGCCTAGCCCCAATGTTATGTTGGTGGCTGCCGAGATAACGATTAAATTATAAATTTTAAAAATTAGGTAGCGGACGTTTCAAAGAAGGTAATGTATTTTAGATTTAATTTTATAAGAATAAGGTCAAATCATTTATGTATATCTATCAGTGGCGGCTCGTGAAGGAGGACTCTGGCACTCCGCCCCCCCAGATATTTTCAAACTGTAAACTTAAAATAATTTATTCATTTAACACGTTGACTGCGAGATAATCTCAATGTACTTTGTCCGTGACTGCGATACATATCTTCGGGGATATGTAACAAAACTTCTTCTGTGTGCGGTACATATCCCTGAGGATATGTAATTTTTTTTACATTTGACCCTATAAAATTAAAAATAACACAATTATTGCTATAAACTTGCATGTATCTGTAACTATATATCCTAGGATAATAACGTTTTCATTCGCAAAGAGTTTTGAAAAGAAAATAATAGAAAATTCATTATTTCTAAAAACTACAGATTCTGCAACTTCCACAAGATACAGTAAAAATGTGATTATTGAGATCCGCATATTTTTTATAATGAGTACATACCTCCCGGGGTATGTACCGCAGTCAACGTGTTAAATCAATAAAAAATCTAAATAGCACGCATTCAATTTGTCTTGGATGCCTAGGTTGGTTGCATAAAGTGCATGTACTCCGTGAACGTAGTTCAGATTAATGCGTTCTGCCATCTATGATCGTACCAAAGAGTTATGTTTGACAGCGTGCGCAATCCCCACTCCATCGCGGTCGGTGAAATCTTAGTCCATCGTGCAAGTATATTTTTACATATGATTGGACAAATTGGCACGTGGAGGGTGTAGGCGACGATAGACTCGCACGCTTTGTTTTGGACTCCACTTCAGTGATACGGGTTATCACTGAAGTGTGGTTATACGTGTTTTGTTTTTGCTTTGGCGCTTTTTAAGACATTATAATTTATAAGTTTAAGTTTAAAATGAGGGTTTGTGAAATAAAAAAACTTGTTATTAGTAAATTAAGTTTAGAGGAAAAATTCAAATTGAAAAATAACGGACGTCCAATGCCAGTGTTGAATTTAGTTCAGGTGCAGGAAGAGTGCAAAAGTAGGCCGGCTTTCATTCGCAAATTTGATAAAACATTTATGATAAAACCGTGTGGTTGTGACGAAACAAATAGATTTTTTTTTTGTATGTTTATTGTTTGGAGGAGGT